GGGTTGGATAACGCAAGATGCGCGCCATTCCATCTCAGCTGATCCATAACGCGCACCGTGCGTGATCCGGTCTGACCAGCGCTCATCTCATCCCCGGGATGGGCCTCCAGAAGTGGAGGAGCCACAGCCTCTTACAGTTTAAATGAATTGCTTTCATTGTTTTTTTTTAAATTATTTTTAAAAATTATCTGAATATTTATTTATTCATTTGTATTTTATTTGCACGAGCCAGAACCTYTTCTCATTTCGGGGTCAGTGGGAGCCTGATGATCCAGTTTCGGGGTGTTTTGGTCAGTTTCGTGCGTCTTAGCTGCACAGAATGACAAAAAAAAAAAAAATAAATAAATAAAAAATCAAAAGCGTGTGTGCATGTGTGTGCGCGGAGAGGGAGAGCTGTTCCACATCAGCCTGACAGGAGAGGAGGAGGAGGAGGTGGGAGAGGTGCCATGTGCTTCCTGTCTCCACAGCCCATTCACCTCCGCGAGCTCCGAGAGGATGGAGGTCCTGAGCTCTGCTGCTTCCTGCGCCTCCATCAWCTGAAATTAAAAAACTCACTTTATTCTGTGCTTTTATTTTTATTTAGCTTTCCCCCCCTTTTAATAAAACCTTTGTTTTAAACCCTCTGGACTCGTTGGGCCTCTACTTATTTTATCTTATTGTTTTGTTTTCCACTCTGATCCTTGGAGTGTGCTGCCTTTTAGAAGAGAAAGGTAAGTTTTATTTTACTATTATTATTATTAAAAATATGTGCTCAAAAATAACTACATGAATTTTGTGCCGTTTTTTGCGATAAGTAATTTAATATTTATGTTAGTGATTAGTGACTCAGAAACAAACATTTATGCAGAGCTTTAAGGATCGTCGGTTTTCTTTTCTACGCGGCCGATGTAAATAAAATAAAAATAAATAAAAATAAAAAACYAGGCGCAGGTAAACTTGAGACAGGCCTCCTACAGACCTCATTCCGAGGCTAATCTGCGCAGCAGCTTTAATTATATATGGGGCTAGTCTTTTATTAACAATGCGCAAGGCACGCTCGGATCCGTGTAATTACCAGGAAAGCAGCTTTACGCGTGTTCTTTTCCTCTCCGCTAAGCGCATTGGCGCAGCTCAGGCGGCATTTTCCTGCTGTCCTTTTCCGACTCTAAGGATCTTATGTGACTCTTAAGTAGTTGTCCCGTTAAGTGCTGAGCCGATTTAAAACACACACACACGCACACACACACACACTCTCATACACACACAAAAGAAGAGAACTTMATCAGGAGGCCAAAAACACACCGAGGAAATGATAAGAAAAACAAACTATTTCCACTTTAAACAGCTGATGCTAGTTGTTTCTTAATTTTAAATTATTATTATTATTATTAT